ACCCAGCCGTGCCACACACGGACCAGTCGGCAGTGCTAGGCCAGGTGTCTGACATCCTGGGCCTCGGCTTCCTGTTCTGTAAGGTGGAGAGACGGTGATAGAGGGCATCGGTGTTAAATGTCGGAGGTTGATTGCTGCGCTGCGGTTACATCAGAAAATGTGTTTATGTTTGGGAAAGGCACACCCTCATGTGTGCAACTCACTCTCAGATGGTCGGGGGGGGGGGGGGGGGATCATAGCTACAGTCAGAGAGCGTGTGCAAATGAGAAAGCAGAGTGACAGCCCGTTGACAACAGGTGATCTGGGTAAAGGGTACAGGTGTGCTTTGTGCTGTCCTTGCGACTTCCCTGTAAGTGAAATTATTTCTAAGTAGCGAGTTAGGTTAGAAGCGGCCCTTGCTGAGTTGCTTTGGACCCTGATGGGGGAGGCAGCCAGCACGGAGGGTTGGCGCTCACACGTGTGCAAGCTCACTCACGTCAGCCCGTGAGTCCTCCTAAAGGCCATTCTTCCGGGCCCAGAGCCGTGGGGCACGGAGCCACTCCTCTCCTCCCAGCCCAGTTGCCGAAGCGGGGCAGCATGCTTGGAGATGGGCATTTCAAAGCCAGTGCCATCTACCTTTGGGGAGCTGGTCTTCAGTCCCTGGGGTGGGACTGCTTCTTGGCTTTGTCAGCTGTGACACTGGACAATGGGAGACCTCGTCTTCCCAGTATGAGCAGCTGGTCATCGTGTCCTCTGGGCTTCTTATAAGCACTGCTCCAAGTGTCACCTCCTGCCCCATCTCTGGCCCCGCCAACCTAACTGGTTTTCTGCGCCTGCCTTTGAGGCAGTAGCAGCACAGCCACCAGGAGGCGCTCTGGAGGTGGGGACTGAAATGTTGGTTGAGGAGATTCAAGCACCAAGACTCAGAGACGTTCCCTCCTCAGACTCTACCCCCACTCCCTCAGACTCGACCCCCGACCTCCATCGCACTTCTGTTGACCTGGGGGCCAGACAAGCCTCTCTGGGCTGCCCTGGGAGAGGAGCTCCCATGTCCTGCTGGGTCCCCCTGGTGAAGGCAGCCTCAGTGCCCACTGCCCCAGGAACCCAGCCAGCTGGACACCAAGAGTGAGAGGAACAGTTCCCCCCTTCCCGCCCCTCGATGGTCTGCTCAGTGCTCTTCACTGAGCTCATGTGTTGGTTAGTCTCCACAGACGGCCCTTGAGCTATGCCCCCCAGGATTCACGTACCCGTACCCCACACCCAGTCCAGGCTGGTCCCCAGCAGAACAGGATGGAAATAGCAGTGAGACTCCCAGGGTTGGGCTGGAAGAAGCCTGGCAGTGCCGGCTGTCCTTGGCGTGCTTGCGCCTGGGACGCGGCTGCCATTGCTGTGAGAAGCCCGAGGGCCATGGAGAAGCCAGGAGTAGGTGCCCCGCCCCCACCACGGACAGGCCCTGCAGGCCTCGTGAGTGAGGAATAAACTGGTGAATTTTATTCCTCGCTCCGAGCCCAGGCTCTCAGGTTTCAGCCCCAGCCACCATCTGACCACAAACACAGGAGAGACAGCCAGCCAGAGCCCCGCTGAGCCCACTCAACTCACAGAACCACGAGAAAGAATGATAAGTTGTTGCTCGAAGCCACTAAGTCTGGGGTATCTGTTGCGCAGCTGGCCGGGACACAGCGTGTGGCCAGATGACCGAAGGAGGTGACCGGGGCTTCGGGTTTTCCCCGAGTTGGTTCTGACTAGAACTCGGGTTGTCCATGCCAAGTCCTCTGGTTTGCTCGGGGCCCGGTGGGAAGGTGGCAGAGTTGGGGGAGGGGTGGGTGTGACCCAAATGTGGTCTATCACTCCAGAGGCTCCAGAGGCTGCCGGCCCAGGAGTTACAAGGTCTGGTTGACGAGTGAGGACTTGTCTTAATGCTAGGAGAATATGACAGGTCTGCTCTTTTCAGAAGAATGAGGACTCTCAAAGGTGGGGCTGCCTTATCTATCTCTGTGTCTCTCTTCCCCCTTTCTGCCCCCCCCCCCCCCCATCACTACCTCCCCAGCTCAGCACTTGCGGTGTTTGGAGTTGCTCAGCCCCATTGAGTTAAATAGATGGTCTCCTTGGCCATAACGAGCATGTGAGTGAGTCCACACTGTGTGTGGACCTTCACTGAGGCGCCAGGGAAGACGGGACTGACCCTGATGCCCGCCTTAAGGACTGTCTGATGGGGGAGACGAGGTTTCCTCCTGTGTGATGGGTGAAGGACAGAGTTCCATCCTCAGCGAGCCCCTGACCCACTAGAAGGACTTGCGATACAGAGGATAGTTCTGCCTCTTTCCCCTTTTGTGTGTGTTCTTCATCCAACATCCTCAAGAGGATCGGGGCTGGGTGGGCAGACCTCCTGGTCCTGAGACATCTTCCCAGAAGCCTTCAGTGCAGGCCAGGCAGGCTCCCTGTCACTCAAGTGCCCGGAAGGTGCCGGGGTCCCTGAGAGAGTATGCACGTCCCACCCCCTGGCCTCAGGGAGTGCCCATGGTTGGCACAACAGTGGTTGACAGAACCCACGCACTTGGCGCTGCCCAAAACAACACCAGCGGAGACAGCAGAATTAAACAGAGCTGCCAGCCCTTCTCTGAGAGATGAAGAGTAGGTGGGTTTGTTTAAAATATTCCCATTACAGTCAGTTAACCTTTATGTTCCCTAAATGAAAATTGTATAAACCTGAAATTTTCGTTGATCAGGTTGCCTAGGAACAGGCAGCGGGTTTTCATAAGACAATGCAGTAGATTGTCACCGATAGGGCTATTAGGAAGTGAGCTGGTTAGCGGTATTATTCCGGATCCTGGTGTTATCGTCAGGTAATTATCTGTCTGCCTCCGCAGAGCACACCCTGCTCGGGCAGGCTCTTGCAAATGAGGTTTCTCAGCCTGCTTCTGAGTCCTGGGGGTGGTGGGGACCTGGAGTCCGGGAGCAAATTGTCACACTAGGTTTAGGGGAGAAATCTGATACACCCAATTCTGATTCATTCCTTCCTTCCTTCCTTCCTTCCTTCCTTCCTTCCTTCCTTCCTTCCTTCCTTTCTTTTTTTCTTTTTTTTCATTTTAGAGAGAGGAAGGGAGAGGGAGAGAAGGAGAGAAACATCATTGATGAGAGAGAACCATTGATCGGCTGCCTCCTGTGCACCCCCCCGCTGGGGATCGAGCCCCCCACCCAGGCGTGTGCCCTGACCTGGAATGGAACCATGACCTCCTGGTTCATAGGTCAATACTCAATCACTGAGCCACACTAGCCAGGCTCTTTCTTTTTTTAACTTTTATTAGCACTTTTTTTATGCTGAATTTACTTCCGGGTCATAAGTTTTTGATTCCTCAGTTCCTCTGGGATAGTTTTCTTCTGTGCAACCTCCTCTTCCGTCTTAGGAACAATTTGCTCTTTTCACTAAGGATCGTCTCACAGGGGCAGGAGAGCTCCTGTGGGTTAATCCGCCATGAGCTCTGTGAGTTCTGCACTGCGTCTTGGGAGCTTTGTTCACCTGGATGTGCTCAATGACCAGAGAGTCTACGTCTAAAGTAGGGGTGTCGAACTCAATCAGAGAAGGGGCCAAAATCTAAAATCCAGCCTAAATCGCGGGCCGAATGGTTTACTGAACAGTCATAAACTGTCATTGTGATGGAAACGCAGCGGAGTGCAGTGATGACAGCGCGGTGCGGGCCACATTGCAAGGCCTGGCGGGACGGATTTGGCCCGAGGGCCTTGTGTTTGACACATGTGGTCTAAAGCCTTAAGCTTGGCGTTGCTTTCTGCGTTCTTAAGTACATGCAGCCAAATTCAGCACTCTTTCTGTGCCAGTGACCCTGTACCCAGCCCCTCTCTTTGGCCTGGGCACGCCTACCAATGCCACCATTGTAACGACACACATTGGCACTCATTGCTTCTGTCTGGTGACATCCTTCAGATGCTTGAGGGTTTTCGGATATGCGTACCCTTGATGGTGTGAGCAGTTTCAGGATCCCCGACTTACCCTATGACATCCCATCTTCATCAGCAATGGGACCGATCACTGGCTAACAGTGCCTGTTCAGTTTATCAGTCAACTAAGAGCAAGTAATGCTAAGTAAGGGCCTAAGGAACCCTGAGAAAATACTGTAGGAACTTCAGCAGCAGCCGTTTTACTTATTTCCCTGGGCTTGTGTTATATGTTATTTATATAGGTAGACATAGAGATAGGTAGATGTAGATATAGATATATGTTGTTGAATAAGTAACTTCTGGGCGTGTGAGCGAGATAGGATTATGAAATTTTGGAGGCGGAAGGAAACAGACACGATTATCAACCCCTTGAAGATGTTGTGCAAAATAAGAAACCTGTAATCCAGATGGGCGGAAGCAGCGTTTTATTTTATTTCTTCCCTCAGGAGTGTGCCGGCGATGGTTTTATAGCGATAGTGCCATCACTGACTTAGAAGTTTTAAAAATCCATCCTCAGGCCTGCCCCTGCCAGGATACGGTTTACAGCCCGTGACACAAGTCTTCTGACGCTCCGTTTTCTCATCTGTGAAATGGGACTAAGACTAGCTGGCCTCTCTGTTTAACGAGAGGTGGAGTCGGAGGGCCCCGGTGTGAAGGGTCACTGACTGGAAGGAACCCACGAGGACTCTGTACACATGTACAGGTCCATCCAGCCATGCGGGGTTGTTACTGTCCTCAGACGCCACCAACAGCCCTGAGTGCCTGCTTGCTTCTCATGCCTTCCGCACACTCTGAGCTCCCAACCCACGCGTGTGTACCTTAAGCTTACGTCCTCGCTGCCCTTCCAAACCCAATTTCATCCTTGTAGGTTTTTCTGAAGCAGGATTTGCGCAAATGGTGTGTTTTCTTAAATATTTATTTTGCAGGCCATTTACTCTGCACGGCTATTTTTACAGTGAGTAAGGAGCAAGGCTAAAAATAACCCAGCCCGTAACCAGATCAGCTCTGCATTTGACATTTACGTGGAATTCATTTGCATCTCATTTGTTCGCCTCTCTGTTTAACAGGTAGAATGTAAGAAAGCTCAGCCGAAGGAAGTCATGTTCCCACCTGGGACAAGAGGCCGGGCCCGGGGGCTGCCTTACACCATGGACGCGTTCATGCTTGGCATGGGGATGCTGGGTGAGTCTGGATGGGACACCATGGGCTGGGGGCTTTGGAAGCCTGCACCCGCCTACCAGCTGGGCAAGCTGTTTACCTGTCTGGGCCTCAGTTTCCTTGTCTGTAGGTGAGAATGACAATCCCCCTTGCAAGGCAATTGTGACTATTAAATGAACAGAGATAGAGATGGATGGAAGGATGGCGGGAGGAATGGAAGGAGGGAGGGAGGGAGAGATGGGTGAATGGAGGGAGAGAAAGAGGGAGGGATAGGTGATTGGAGGGAGGGAGTAATGGATGGATGAAGAGATGGAGGGAGGGAAGGAAGGAGGGAGGGAGGGAGGGAAGGAGGGATAGATCATCTTGTCCCATGTCTGGCTTATAGGAGGGACTAGATATTTTCTTTCTTTCCACCCCTTCCTTCAAAGGGAGGAAAAGTCACTCCCTCCCTCTGTCCCAGCCCTCTCTCCTAACTGGGCGTTTGTAAGGACCTAAGGACCCCTTGGCTGGCTGAACTTGTGTGGGCTGAGGCTACATCTTCTGAAACTTGAGAGAGGTGGGAAGTGGTGAGGGTGGCCGATAATCCTGCCTATTTAAATGATTAACATTTTTCTCTTGGGATATCAAAATTTGCATTTTAATGGATGTTTTAAATAGCCTGTTTTATTCTTTATGGGGTGAGGGGGGAATGATGAAAGACAAGTGTGTTTGTCCTGGCAAAAACAATCTCCCCTGGCTTCTAGAGAAATTGAGTTGCATATTATGCCCCTTCCTTAAACGTATCTCTGTCCGTCCTACGTAGATAATTGAAAATCTTGCCGCTTAAATGGCATGAAAGATGGAGAAAGCCGTGGAGTAGCATAATGGTGTGGGTAGCAGCAATAATTAGAAATTTCAAGGCAAGAGAGCGGTATTCTAGTGCAAGTTATTGTGTGTCGGGAAAATATTAATTAAATGGGATAAATGGTAGTTATGCTAAAAATCCTATTTAGGCACACGATCTGCCTAGTTTTAATGGGTTTTCATTTGATTTGGCCAAGAGTCCCTCCTCTACATTGTTTGATAAGCTTTTTATGTATTTTCAGATTTGCTGCTGTTCAAATCATTCCTGGCTTAGTTTTACATTTGTAAAAGTTTCCTGGGTCTCGTAAATTCTTGAAAATAATTTTTCTGAGGAAATGATGAGGGCAGGTGAAGTCATTCTGAGTAATTTAAAACGGAGAGAGATGCCATGAGGATATGGAAAACAGCTGGGATGTTTATTCTCAAATTAGTATTTTTAGGTTTAACGATTTCAAAGAAAAATCCTATTGTAAGATTTTAAAAACTGGGGAAATTATCCTAAAACGTATCTGGAAGAAGAAACACTAAGAATAAGTGTGAAAATGTGTTAAAAGGAAACATGAGAAAAGACTAGTTTGGTGGAGTATATGAACATAGCACAAAACTGCAGTAATTAAAATAGTGTGGTATAGAGGAATGCATTTGTTAATGGAAAAAAGTTAAAGAACCAGAACTAAATATATTTTTACATATGAGTGTAATTATTATAAGATTTTTTTTTAATTTTTTTTTTAAGAAATCAGAGAGGGCCCTAGCCTGTTTGGCTCAGTGGATAGAGCGTCAGCCTGTGGACCAAAGGGTCCCAAGTTTGATTCCAGTCAGGGGCACATGCCTGGGTTGCAGGTTCGGTCCAACCTGCAGGAGGCAGCCGCCAATCAATGATTCTCTCTCATCATTGATGTTTCTGTCTCTCTCTCCCTCTCCCTCTTTGAAATCAATAAAAATATATTTTTTTTAAAAAGAAATTAGAATTATTTCCTGCTTGACTGCAAGGCACTTGTCTGGCTCTTACTTTAAATCAGTGTTTTTCAACCTTTTTTGGGCAAAGGCACACTTGTTTCATGAAAAAAATCACGAGGCACACCACCATTAGAAAATGTTAAAAAATTTAACTCTGTGCCTATATTGACTATATATAAAGTAATTCTCTTGAATAGGAATCAAATAAACACAAAGAAAGTATTTTATAATTACTTTATTATGAAATATTAAGTAAACAAAATAGTGAAAAATTATAAAATTCTTGTCTTGTCTGCACCTACGGCACACCAGGCAACATAGTGTGCCGCGGAACAGCGGTTGAAAAACGCTGCTTTAAATAATAATTTTTATTTGATCTTTACCCTGTGTTGTGCACCAAAAGAAACCCTGAATGGCTTAAGTCTTTTAAAAACTTAATGAGTTGAGTTCATTTCCACCTGCTGGCTTTGGAGTCTGCATAAAGGCCTTTGGGCATGACATGGAGGCTTTCTCAGGGTGCTGCTCCACCTTTCTGAGTCTAATTCCATGCCCTTCACCGGTGAAGGGTGGCCTGGGTGTTTTGCAGGAGAAGCAGAGGTGTGGAGCAGAGTCTGTTCACTCGTGACAGTCGCCAAAAGAGCAAAGGGCTCAGGGTCCACGTCTCCATAGACACCCAAGCTTAATCGCTACACAGAGGGCACCCATCATGGGAGCCACAGCAGGAGGGCCTTGTTGAATGCCAACTGTGCACCTTGCCTTGGGCTAGCGCTGGGAGACAGACATGGTCCCTGACCTCGTGGAGTTTCGGTCTAGTGAGAGAGACAGTATTTAACAGCCCAGTCACCCAGAAATCTAATCCTCCTATACAATAAAAGCCTAATATGCTAAGTGTCCAACTGTTCGACTATTCAACCAGTCGCTATGACGTGCACTGACCACCAGAAGGTAGACGCTCCAACCTGTAGGTTAACTTGCTGCTGAGGTCCAGCCTATCGGGACTGGGGAAGACGGTCCGGACCCGCCCTGGAGCCCTTCTGAGGTTCCTCCCCGGCCTGATTGTGCCCCGGGGGGTCCCTTGGCTTCTGCCCAATCCCTGCAGGCCAAGCCGAGGGACCCTACTGGTATACTAATCCGTGCACCAGACCTCTAATCTGTTATAATAAAGAAAGTGACAGGGTGATTTCAGAGAAAATAAAGGAGAATAGAACCAGTCTGAGGAATCAGGGAACACCTCCCTGTGGAGGTGACATTTTAGGTGGAAAGAGAAGAGGATGGAGGGAGTGGCTGAATAGCTCTGGTTCCTCAGGAACCAGCTCAGCCCAAGGTCCGGCAGAAGGGGTGGATCGGCCAAGACCTGGGGACAGACTGACAGTGTCACAGTCTGGTTGGCCTGTTGCCTCCCTGCCCAGGCCAGAGTCTCCCCCGAGGCTTCTCCAGTGCCCCTGCCAGAAGTGTCCTCCATTCTGTCCATTGGCACAGCTTGGCATCCTGGGCTCTGGGTGAGGAGGGTGCCTTCTGTGCTGTGACTGAAGCACTTGCTCCTTCCCTCCAAAGTGGTGACTTCGGGGAAGTCTAACGCTTCCGTGGGCCCCATCAGTCACCTGGGCCCCCCTCCCTGCTGTGCAAGGCCTGCGTGGCAGTCCTGGAACCATCACCATTGCCACCAGCAGCAACGTGGCTAACGATCTCAGCTCACACAGAACATTTTAAAAAATGTATTGATGAATGGAATGAGATGAGGTTTCAGTGACTTAAACATTTTTGTTGAAAGGGCGGAAAAGACACTGATAGGGCTTTCTAGAAGTGAGACTATAAATTATTAAAGTTTTAAAATCCATTCGTTCAACAAATATTTATTGAGGGCCCGCTAAGGGCCACGCCCGTTCTGGATGCTGGGACAGCAGCAGAGAATGAAGCCTAACCCCCGGGAGCTGACGTCTGGTGAGAGCAGACACACTGGTCGGCAAATGACCAGGACACGGCGGGACGAAATGTTAAATATCCCCAAGACTTCTCCGTCGGCGGCGGGGCGGCCTCGTCACAGGAAGGCTGATGAGCGTACAGTTCCAGTTCCTCTTTCTCCGTCTCTCTTGATGTGGCGGCAGACGTCCTTGGGGGGGAACCTGCAGCTGTTTGGGTTTTGGCTTTCACAGCCTCTGACAGAATCATAGAATGATCGGCCCAGTGGGAGTTCCTTAAAAAAGAACGCAGGAGAGAAGAGGAGGGGTCAGGTCTCCCTGCCTCTGAGCCAGACAAAACGCAAATCAACTGAGGCCCTGAGCAAAGGTCTCCCTCTGTGCAGCAGCAAAGGGGTGCCCACGGTTACCCAGCTCCGTGCACTAGACTCTCTGGTTTTCCTCAATGGACGTGGACTTAATAAAGCAAAAAAAAAAAAAAACAACAAAAAAGTAATTATTGTTGATAGATTTGACTCCTCTTGGCCTTCTCCGCCACATCGTCCTACTGCCTTGCCCTCCCCTGGCCTGGCCGGGCACAGGCTCTACCAGGGTCAGTACCAGCGCCGGGAAAACGCCTCGTTGCCGAAGCCTTGAAAAGCCTCACCCGGCAGGCCCAAGTGGAGAGCCCGTTGCCCAGGTGAAGGAAGCCAGAGGCATCCCCGTCCAAGTGGTGCTGGGAAGCCCCTGGGAAACCGTCACCCAGCGTTCCCCGGCGTGAAGCACCTCGGAAATGGAGCAGGACAAGGCGCTGTAACCAGCTGGCATCCACTCACAGCCCGCACGGGGATGGGCCCGGGACTTACGGCCGCAGGACTGGACTCCTTGTAATTTCTCCTGGGACCTGTCTTTCCCCAAAATAACCATGAGGTCTCCGCTTGCTCAGCTGTTTCCCGGTAAACAGAGGAAACACGGAACCCAGCCCCTCGTCTTCCTTGGGACGCCCCGTGACGTGGGAGGTGCCAGCTCTGTGCCGCCCAGGTGGCCGTGGAGCATCGACTGTGGGTTCTCTTGTCGAAGAACTGAAGTGTTTGTTTTATATCGCTTAAATTAAATTACATTTAAATTGGGCAGCACAGGTCCGGGGGAGCTCCGCGATTCTGGATGATCCTGGGGCTGGGCACCTTGCAGACCTTTTGCCTGTGATCTGTTCTCAGCACTTGGAGTTGTATTTGTGTGCCGATCTCATGGCCAGTGTGGTACCCCGGGCGGTGCCCTGCACCCCCACAGCAGGGGCCACACATCCACAGTCCTTGTCTCTTGTCTCTCTCAAGTCGAGGGCCCAGTGGGAGCAACTCTCCGAACCTCCGAGGAGCTGAGTAACAAACGGAGCCCGGGATTGGCCCAGTCGTGTGCCCAGCTGGCAAACAGACACCTGAGGGTGGAGCCAAGGCTTCTAGACCCAGACTTCTGAGAACTCCGGGGAGGGGGCACTAGACTGAGCTGGCTGGCAAACTCTCAGATTCGACTATAGATTTCTGAGTTTCTTTTTCCCGAGTGGAAAGCCTTTCGGTGAGAGAGGTGGCCATCCAGGCAGAAGGCTTGGTTTTTCTTTAGTGACAAGAGATAATTACTGTGGGATTGATCAGGCGTCCAGAGTACTGGAGCAAATAAATTGCGCAGCAGCCAGTGCAGGAGGGGCCCGGCTGCTAATGGAAGTGGTGGCTGGGTCACCTCCCCGTAATGTGGCCTGATGGAGCCGCCATACGGGCCCGCCGTAATGTGCTATTGATATGCAGCCAGTCCATCTCCCCGTGGGCTGGGGCCGGGAGCCGCTGGAGCAGAGCTGGGCTGCACAGCAGTAAATGAAGAGGAAAATTGAAGAAATGTTGTATTATACATTTATGATTTCATCTGCCTGACCCAGAAGATGTTCGGCGATGGGGGGTGGTGATCAGACCCACACCCCCACTCTGGCAGCGGCCAAATTCTCACCTTTGTTGTTCAGGGAGACAATATTGACATCTCCAGGAAGATGGGGGTAAGGCCCCAATCCGTGTGAACTTGGCCATGCCTCTCTTCCTTCTTGTTGAAGACTTTCGAGCACTCCAAGAGGAAAGCAGATAAAGTGGAATCCTCCTGGTGGCCCACCTGAGTCAGGGAGGGACTGGGCGGTCCACCCCCCACACCCACACCCACCCGAGGAGTCTGGAAGGTGACATATGGGCTTGCAGTTTTGCTGTCAGATTAGCACTAAAATATTTAAGACCCCCCCCCCCCCAGCACAGGTGTTAGGAGAAAATGAGTCATTTTTCATGCGGAAAGGCCTCAGGCAGCAGTGACTTGGCTGCGTGCATGTAATCCGTTTATCGATATTGTTGAAATAATGGTATAAGAAATCCAGTGCTGAAAGATCGGATTTGATCGCAGGTGATTAATTCAGAGGAGAATGGAGCTGGCCAGCCGTGAAATAAGTTCCCAAGAAGCAGCCTGCGTGTGTGGTGTGTGTGTGTGTGTGTGTGTCCACTCAGTGCAGCTACGTTTGGTCCCTGTCCCTCGTCACTGCCCCTCTGCTCCTCTTCTTTCTGAGTCTCGCTCGGGTCCTGCTCCTCAGCGGTCAGGGTCAGCCTGGCTCGTCTGGGCAGCCTCAGAGCAGGAGGAAGGCCTTCGCTGCTCCCAGGAAGGGAGGGAGGCCTCTCTCCGAGACTCACAGAGAAGGGGCACCAGGTGATGGGCAGCCAACAAAGGGCCGCAGACGACAATCTCAGAGCTCAAAGCCAAAGTCAGGCTGGTGGAGGTGGCAGGGGAGGGGGAGGGGGAGAACCCCACGTGGAAGGAGACCGTGTGAGCCCGGCGGGGTGGGCACTGTGGGCCTCCTGTGGCCGGTGGAAGCTCAGTGCGGGAGACTACACCAGCCTCCTCTAGCTGAACTAAAAGGCAGGGACATAGAGGGAAGTGACATCTCATAGCAGGAAGGAGAAGGCCACACCACCAGCCAGATTTTCATCTGCACCCCATGCCCACCCAGCATGCACCCTCAGTTCACCCATCACCCCCTCGCTTGCCTGCTAGGTCAGATATCTGGAAAATAGACAGTTGCTACAAAATGCCTGTCGAGACATGTGACACGGGCTTCTGGGTTGGGGCTAAGCTTTGTGGTGCACATCTGAACACAACCAGCCCCTCGCTGTTCTCCCAGGAATATTCTGGTACTCCATGGAGTGTGTGTGCTTGGACGAGGGCCTGGGGACCCACCTCCTCTGTACCCACATGGCTCATCAGGCCCAGTGTAAGCCCTGAGTTTCCCCGCTAACTCAGCTCCCAGGCTGAGCCTGGGCTGGCGCCGCCGGCCGCTGCCCGCTGCCTTGGAGGACTTCAATCTCCCAGTGTCAATAGCTTTTCGGTAAAGTACATCCAGGCTAAGCTCTCCAAATGTCAGAGCCGGGCCCGGGCCGAGTTCGGTGCTAATGCCTGGCATTTACTCTGCAGGTCAACAAAGCCGTGGGCTTTGGGGCTCTCTCTGCCCAAGCGTGGGTTAATTACCAGCAGGCGGAGCGCGGCACCCCCAGCCCCGGGAGAGGAGTGACCTGCCCCGGGTACAGACCCTCAGGGGAGGCGGTCACTCTGTGGAGGAGACACTCTGGCTGTCCCCTCGCCCTCCCCGTGGTTCCGCCAGACCCAGGCGGCTGTGCTAACAGGACTGCTTTCTCTGTGTTCAAGGCTACCCCAACTTCGTGGCGACCTACGGCCGCGGCTACCCCGGATTCGCTCCCAGCTACGGCTACCAGTTCCCAGGTGAGTGTCTGTCTCCGGGGGCTTTAGAACCTGCGCTGTGGGCTGCACTTGGGGGGAGGGGAGCCCCTAGAGAGAACACAGCTCATCCATCCATTCCAGAAGCGGCCTGTGGGTGCTGATTTCCAATCCAGTTCACCAGCGCCAGGGGCAGCTCAGGCTGTGACTGACTGGAGTTCCCACTGGCCTGACAGCGGCAGCTTTTTAGGGGGAAGGGAGACTGAGGCAGGCGCCCTCCCCTGCTCATCTCCTTTGTCTGATGCCTGCTGGGGAGTCTCTCACTGGGGACTGAGCTCTCAGCCAGCGTTTTCTTCCCCGCTCTTTCTCGCCCTGCCTGCTGTCCACGTCTCCCCCCGCCCCCCTCCAGCTCTGCCCTGAGCCTTCCTGTCCCGGCGAATGTTGGGTGTTCTGTTGGGGTTGGCATTTGCTGTCGGTCTTGGGAAAGTATTTAGGTTCTCCCTCCTCTCTGTGTGGGCATCAGAGACTCAAGGCCAAGCCCACATTGGTATGTCCTGGCTGCTGCAGCCCCCTGGTAGCTGGGAGGCCCGGGGCCCCACCCCAGATGGCAGCAGGGTGGGCATGATCCTATAGGGGTGGGGGTGCGGGGTGCTAAAGGAAGGAGACTTTCTGGCACTTAGCTTTTCCAGGGGCGTGGGGGGAGCTTGGGGTGTCTGTGTACCAAGCACAGTGGGGTTCTGGAGACCCCCCAGGAGTGGAGGTTTGTCCCCTTGGGTTCTGTGCTGGGGGAGGAGGCTCTGTGGGGAGTTGGGCTTCAGGCGGGAACCTCCCCCTGAGGTGCAGGAGGAACATGCCCTAGCCCCAGAGGACTGTTCTGAAGCCACTGAGGTGGGCGTGTGCAGGGCTCGGCCAGCGTTTGATTCCAGTTTGGGGGGAAAGGCGGGGAGACAGGTCAGGAGGCATTTGGGACACTTAGAGCCGTGCCATATGGGAGACAGAGCCCTAGGCTGTGCGTGGCCGTGGGCAGATCGCTCCGTCTCGGGACCTCGCTTCTGTCTTCTGTGGATGAGAGTTTGTGCAGAATGGTCACTGAGGTCTGTGCCCCTTTCTGATTGTGGGGTGAGGAGGTGTTGGAGCAGAGGTTTCAGATGGAGGAGTTGGGGGGGTCCCCGTGAGTGTGTCCCCTTCCCTGGGGCTGGGCAGTGTCTCCGTCAGGGTGAGGCTTCTCTAGAGACGGCCGCCTCGGTGGCTGCGGGCTCCCAGCAGGATGGCAGGCTCCACACCCAGAGCAGCCGGCGCTGGGCCGGAGTTTGAGCCTCCATTGGACTTCCCCGGTTACAGGGGGGGCGCCGGGCCCAGTGAGTAAGGCCTGCTCCGGGCAGTGCCAGGGGACCTGGGCCTTACGTGCTACCCACCGCTCGCTCTCTAGCGACCTTCTGTCCAGTAAGATCCCACCACCACATGTGGCTACTAAAATTTAGATTGAGAGTAATTAAAATGAAGTAAAACGAAAATTTCAGTTACTCGTAGTCATATGTGACTGATGGCTACCATCAGTGAGAATATAGAACCTTTTCTTCACAACAGAAAGATCATAAAGGAAGAGCGTATTATGGTGGGAGGTCTCGTTACACACACACACACACACGCACACACACGCACGCACGCACACACGTGTGCCACCATCCGCATCCCCCATTTCTTTCCATCTGCTCAGCTCCCCAGCTGTGGCAATCTCAGGCAGCCTTCCCTCCCCTGCTCCCTTCCTAGAGGGAAGGAGACCAGGCTTGCACCCCTGCCTCCCTGACAGCACCCTGTGCGCCTGGCACAGCCACCTCCCTCACAATCAAGCTGCCGTTGTCCCCCGGCACAGCACTCATCCCAGGAGGACAGAGTCAGGGGGCCCTAACATGGGGTGACAGCGTGGGCCCCATCTCTCTGAGAGCCAGCCCAGGAAATGTCTGGTAGAACTCTTTTGTCTCAGGGACCTGCATCCCTGAGTCTGCCCTAAACAGACGGAGATGCACAAGTAACCCACCTTATCAGCCAAGGCTTCGGGGCCGGAGAGGGGCTGGGAACGGCCAGGGAACGGGCTTGCAGTGGCCATGCCCAGGGCCCATTTGTTTATCACGGTCAGCAGGTCCCACCGCTTAACAATCTTACGGGTTTGAAAGGGGCAGAAACCAGACCTCGCAGCATCCAGACAGACTCGCGGGCCCCCCCCCCCCCCCCCCCCCCCCCCCCCCCCGGGACCTGGCTGTTCTGTTCTTTCTCGGCCATCAAACTGTTCGGATTCCCATCCCACTCACACTCGAGAAGCCTCTTGTTGGTCCTCAGCTGTGGCCATCAGGGGCCCCAGAGTGCAGCCGCCTGCTCTCAGCGGGTCAGCGGGTGGCCGCTCCCCGCCCCTCACAGCCCTCACTCAGGAGCCAGGCTGGCCCAGGTCCGTCCCCTGTAGAGAGGTGGCTCTGTCTGTTCCCAACACTCCCCAGCAGCCTGGGGCTTCCCACACACTGGGGAGTCCCCGGGACTTCCCAGCGAGGTCTCATGAGCGGCGTCTCCCTGAGAACCAGACTGGACCCTCTGGAGCCTGGGCTGCAGGGCAGGGCCCCCGTGAGGGAAGCTTGGCAATGTCCTGACATCTGTCTCTTGCCTCGTGTCCGTGAGGAACGTTCTAGCAGATCTGGCCGAGGAGGCTCCCTGCCCCGTCAGGCCGCCCGTGGGCCCTCCCCGTGCCCTGAGTCCTGTGAGTCGGACATCAGCACAGCTGTCCCGCCACCACCAGCAGTCCTGCTGTCTCTTCCTCATGGCCCCTCTTCTCCACGTGCTCTCTGTGCCCACCTCCCCCACTCCCACCTCCAGTCTCTCCTGCGATGCCCGTGGATCCTACACCCTCCCTGCCCCTCCGACTCCCTCCGAGTGGGACAATTCCAAGTAGCTAGCGGACAGAAACGGAAGACACCCAGGTCCGGAGCGCCGCTAAGGTTCTTACCTGTTAAGGTGCTTCCACTCAAAACCACGTATTCCTTCCCCAGCTGGTTTGGTTCAATGGATGGAGGTCCCAGGTTCGACTCCGGTCTAGGGCACGTGCCCAGGTTGTGGGCTCCATCCCCATCGTGGGGCGGGCAGGAGGCAGCCAGTCAATGATTCCCTCTCATCACTGATGTTTCTATGTCTCCTCTCCCCTCCTGTCTGAAATCAATAAAATATGTGTTTTTTTTTAAAGTATCCCTTTGAGCCGAAACCGGTTTGGCTCAGTGGACAGACTGAAAGGTTCCAGGTTCGATTCCGGTCAAGGGCATGTACCTTGGTTGCAGGCACATCCAAGAGGCATCTGATCGATGATTCTCTCTCATTGATTTTTCTCTCTATCCCTCTCCCTTCCTCTCTGTAAAAAAATCAATACAATATATATGTATTTTTAAAAAGTATCCCTTTGAGGAACCTACAATCTAACCTTTTCTGAGGTCCTCCTGAATTGGCTGTTTATGAATACCCATCTCATCTGTGGGTAGCTGGCATCCCTCTCAGTGGAGCCCCACTTCACCTGTGCCAACTTTCCTGGGCGCACAGTAGGTATTAAGCAATGCCTGCCTCTGCCCACCTTTATTTTTTTTTTTAATATATTTTATTGATTTTATTGTTTGTTTGTTTTTTACAGAGAGGAAGGGAGAGGGATAGAGAGCTAGAAACATCGATGAGAGAGAGAGACATCGATCAGCTGCCTCCTGCACACCCCCCACGGGGGATGTGCCTGCAACCAATGTACATGCCCTTGACCGGAATCGAACCTGGGACCTTTCAGTCCGCAGACCGACGCTCTGTCCACTGAGCTAAACCGGTTTCGGCTGCCCACCTTTAGATTCTATGAAAATAGTGAAATGCTCTGATAAAGCGGGCTCGATGCCTTTGGATAATTACTAGAGTAGGGAGTAGTTCTTCTCTAGGAAGACGGGGTGATGGCAGCCGGCCACTTCACAACCCGCCCCTTCCTCCCAGGCTCAGGTGTCCCCTATACGCCCCTCCCCCGCCCCGCCCCACCCCAGCTCCTCGGAGCAATATGCGGGCTCGAATTATGACCCCAGTCAGTGGCTCCCTGTTTTCTCTCTTTTCCCCCCTCTGGGCTCTTAGTTTAATCTGTTAACTTCTGTTCTCATTTACTTTGCAGACTATTTGCCGATTTCACAAGACATAATTTTTATCAACTAGCTCTTAAGAGAGGCATAACAAATTGGGGTTTGCTACCAATGCTAGAGAGAGGACCCAGTCCCGCCGGGACCAGCCCAGCTGCTGTCCATGCCCACTGAGCTCTCCTAGCTGCCTGTCTGAATGAATGAATGCTCTTTTGCTCGTTTAATTCGTGGAAAAGACTCGTGTCCTCATTGCTTCACACAGGTTTTTCAACATAATTTTATTCTCCAGTCCCTTCCCATTTTGCTCCCTGTGTGCACTGTGAACATCCTCCCCACCTACCCCACCTGCCGCCTCCCCCAGAATGTAACCGGCCAGAGGAAACTTCTCACAAACTCTGTAGAGCCTCAGGAGGGGTTGGGGGGGGGGGGGGCTGGGAGTCCAGGTAGAAGACATCAAATTACTTTAAATAATGACCAAACAGGCTCATTGGGCATGTCACGGGGTGAGGTTTGAAGTGCTGGTGGGCCACGGGGGTGGGCGATGGGTGTGTTGGGACACCTCTGTCCTGTGTGGACATACTGAAAGCGAACACACACACACACACACAGTGTTCCATGAATACTAATGTGAGAAACTTAATCTGGAAAAAACTGTATTCGTAGGATCTGGTTGCCTGTCTTTGGGGTCCATCCTTCAGTGGCTGCTGCCATGATAATTAGCAGCCAGTCTTCCAGAGGGGCCAGTGGAGCCCCCTGGGGGCTGCCACATCGCAGGCTCTGTTGGCCCTCCTTCCCCCACCCCACCCTCACCCCCTGCCCTGCCGGCCCACTGGGGAAGAGAGGACGGGACTCAGAGGGTCCATCCTCATCAGGCGGCACCCCTGATGGTCACCCCCAGAAGGGCTGTCTTTC